AGCCCCTCTGACATGTCTGGAATTAAATTTGCGTCGTCGTCGATCTTCAGTGGTATCGGGCTCTAACCCTCGTGCATCACGCGAGACTACTACTGATGAAAGCTGCTGCTACAAGACAGCATGTACACCCTAGCACGGTGATGCACTGTCTGTACGACTACTACTACCTCGGTTGCTCACGGAAGGATCTGGCGCACGTCTACAACAAGACCTAACAGACTATAAGTAGCTGGATCCATGCCTATGAGGAAACAGGAACCTACCAGCAAGCTACATTAAACACAGATAGGAAGCTCTCAGGAGAGGGACTTCGCAAGTTTTTTTTTAGCAGAGACCTTTGTCCTACCTCGACGAGGCACATGATGCATTTCTCAAGCACTCCCACATCAACATATCGAGGACATCTGTGTGGTGAATTATCCACGATTTTGGACTAACGTGGAAAGTATTAGAGCGCAGGGCCATCCATGTAAAGGAAAGAAACATTTTTCGATTTGCTGAAGAGCTCAATTGAAGTTACCAGAACATTGTTTTTTTCTTGATGAAGTCTCATTTGACAATAGAGGTGCTGCGAAAGCGTGGCTATGCTTTACGTGGACAAATTAGAGGAAAGCTCCAAAGAATACCTCGAGTTTCCATGCTTGCTTTCATTGGCGTTAATGGTGTTATCGACTACTACGACTCTGTGGGGGACATTTTACCGGATAGAAATCGTGCGATGCCAAGATTTTTCTTATTCGAAGCGTGCAGGTGCTCGCCCTTACCCGAGATCCAATTCGCTTTGGATATTATATGGTGCATCGATCCACTGTCATCCCGAAATTGCTCACTTCCTCAGAAGCATCGGAATAGTACCGATTTTTCTACCGGCATATTGCCCATTTTTCAATCCTATTGAATATTTGTTCGGCTACGTGAAGAAGGCGTTCCAGAGGCATTACGAGGACTCTACTGACAATAATTTAGTGCCGTTCATTTTTGAAACTTTCCGCCGTTTTGCAAACTTTGACATGGCTCGGACTTTCAGCGTTGTGGCTGGACGGTGGAGGGCATCTTCAATCTCTTAGGTCTGCTGTCTCCAGAGAACGGAGCGGCTCCAAATCTGGACCGGAGCTCGACGGAATTGGACGCAAACGAAGACTTGCGTGAAGATGTGTTCG